AATCAACGTCTCAGATTTAAAGAATGTGGGTGTTGGTTTGGGTTTGGTTGAAGACAAGAATGACACGTACAGCTGCCACATCCACACCTACTATGAGATACACTCACCTTAACAGTCTAGCAACCAAACCCAGACCAACACCCACATTCTTTAAATCTGAGACGTTGATTAGACTATTTTTCAATACATATTTGATGATAATATTGATTTTTTGGGCTCATGATAGTGCGGTACTTAATCTGTTCGCTGAAGATTCATTTTTTTAAGTGTTTCATTGTCGTGCTAAGTAGAAAAGAAATAAAATAATATGAAAGAAGAATTTTACCATGTAATCTTGACGGCTAGCATAAGTTTTTTCTATAGCCGCTCCACTCAATGTATAAACATAGATCGATGTAAGAACCAACTATTACTCAAACTTCATTAATACTGTTCGCAGCAGTCTGACGACTCCGTCTTGCTATTATGAGTAACTAAAGTTTTCTGAGAAAATATTTACCTTTAATGCCTAACACTTTATGCCTATATTTATTTAGTCCAAAAGAAATAAAACATTATACATATTCGTCTATAATCCAACTATTTGATTGGTTATTGATCTAGACCAAGTGAAACTTTAACACAATCAGTTTCGCTGTATATGATATAGTTTGTTTCTCATTTTTAAACTTTTTTGTATGCACTTTAACCGAATGTTAATAATTTTCATTGGTTCATATTTTTCATTTCATAGTTCATTTAAATTATATAACAGAAAGAAATTGCATTTTCCTATGAAATTTTTGGAGAATAAAAAAATTCAAATATTGAGTTATCACGAGTAGTTAAATTATTGATTTTGTCATGAATAAGCGTATCTCAATGCTCTCAAATTATTCAACGAGCAATCAAGTTTCTTCTATTTTGCAATCGATACTACTGTATTTCTGATTGTCTACAGTGATATCGTTTCATCATGACATCTACTGATCATGGTGGATATATGCGTTGTTTGTTTACTAATCAGCAACGAGAGAACGCAAGAAAAGCATGTTGCAAAAAGGGTAACAGTGATGCCACAATTTCTTGTTTTTTTTTTACTTTTAAAACTAATCGATCAATAACAAGAAGAATAGTAGATAGAAAAGGTAAGACTGTGATTTAAGTGGTCAGTACTTGAATTATCAGTATTAAGTTACAAAAATTATACATAATGAGTAGTAAAAAAATTACATTTTACATCAGTAAAAAGTTGAAATTAGATCAGTGAAAAATATTGACTTTATCTGCAGAATTTTTTTAGTTCGTATGAAATACACTCTAGTATAAGAAAAATAATTTAAACAAGTGAAAAAGAACACAGAATGAGTAAAAATAAATTCAAAGACCCAAAGAAGAAAAATAAATTGTTGTACGAGCAAAGCAGTTTTAGCTTTCGTTGGCCTACCTCTTGTTTCCTACGTCACTGAGTGAAATACTCTTTGCTGCTATTGGTTTGTTTACAATATTTCAGACGAATAGTCTTATCAACAACACGTTTGCATGTGTGATTTTTAAAAGAATATGGATGTGAGTATTCTCGTCATCTACGCTCACACCCACACTCCACCGCGATCAAATTCAACATGAATAGTTATTAGTATTAATTGTATCTTTTTAGATGATATCTTTGAATTAATTCAAATTTCATTTCTTGATGTATGCAGCTCTGCTGTATCGTACGAAGTATCTCTTTTTACAAAGTCAGAAAAGAAAAGACTTCGTTTCATAATATTTTATCGGTTATTTCGTATTTTTTTGTGTTCTTCTTATGACCCATCTGCTCGTCGAAAACTCGTCGCTATCTTCTTCAAACGATCAGCACATTACCAACACCTCATCCTGTCATTGGGTCTTGGAACCTTGCACTTTAACCGATCCCAAAATGATCGCACTCGTACACTTTGAACAATCGGACTATGCGGTCTATCTTCATCCTGAAGATAAGCGCGGTTATCGTTCTATTGTCCGATTGATCAATAACGACCGAGCGATCTCAATAATCAATCGAGATTATACTTCTGCAGAAAGAATTGGTCTTGCCTTAACCATGGCTTTAGTCACAGAAGTCTATACCCGTATTGTTCCAATCGCTCAAAATGTAGTTACGGGAAATAATGCCCGTTTGTTTGATTCAAAAACGGGCATCATCCAACTAGGTACTCCTCAAGAACCAATTTTTCTTCATGGTCATGTGTTTGGATGCGGCAACCCAGAAGGAAAATATATTGACGACGTTCAACTGGATGGTCCTATTCTTGGATCACTACTTTTCGATATGAACGCTACGTCTCAGCAAGAATCAGATCACGATAAACAAGTATCTTGGAAATCAGACGAAATGAATAAAGTGGTTCGTAGATTAGAAACTGAAATTGAAAACATTCATGATGCTTACAAAGTTCACGGACTAACCATCATTACCCGAAACATTTTCATCGATATCTACATAGTAAGACATGGCGAAACGGATTGGAATACTCAAAAAAGACTTCAAGGACATACAGATATTCCTTTAAGTGTGCAAGGCAAACAACAAGCTGGCCAACTTCAGGAAAAGTTTGCTGGCATTTATTTTTCAAAAATATTCTCATCCGATTTGATACGGGCGCGTTCAACTGCTGAATTAATTCTTAGTTCAAACAAATCAACTATTATTGAAACGCCACTTCTCCGAGAAAGATGCTTGGGAACATGGGAAGGACGTTTGGCTGGCGAATTAAAATCGTACTTGGAACAAACTGTCGATCTTAACAATTTCACACAAGAAGAATATTTATTGTTTAAATGGGACGATACTGCTGAAAGCTATTCTGATGCGTATCAACGAATACAAACTTTTATCCGTTCCATTGTATTTTCTCCACCGATAAGTGATGATCCCATTTTACTTTCTAGTCATGGCGGTATCTTGCGATCCATACTATATCACTTAGATTTTCATCCTGGTCTTTGCTGGCAGGTGACTAACTGTGCTTTTCTGAAGCTGAGAGCACGAGCAGATGGACAAATCACCATTATGGCTTCCGACGGTGTCAGATTGATCGAGGCAAAGGAGACCATTTTGCCAGCTTGAAGTATACTGTCCAAACAACGCAATATCGTAGTTCTTCGCAGACTCTCTGTCTCTTACTCTTTACGAACTACTTCTTGTTTTTTTTAATTGCATTTAGAATTTTTTAACGTTGAAAATTTTGTAACATCGATGTTCCGTGTTCATTATAAAATTTTGAAAATCAGCAGAAAAAGAAGACTAAACAGCAAACTAATCATCTTCGACAATGCAAGCTCGCAGAGCAATAATGCTCGGTAGAAATGAGCGATATTGTCGTCAGCAGTGTCATATTTACTCAACTTTTTAAAAGCAAAAATTGTTCATGTTTAGTACGAAATATGGACATACTATAAATTGATTACAGAGCATGCAATTGAATCTAGCATCCGAAACACCGTGCAAATTCAGTTTTCTCCTACAAATTATTATTGAGATCACAAGGTGAGACAAGACTCTTGATCGTTCAATAGAATTACTTCTTGTTTTACTAGCAAAAGTAAAGATTAACTGTTCTAGTTATTGATTCATATCTTCATGAATGACGCATTGTTTTGCCCTGTGTTATTCCAGTTTGAAATCTCTTAGTCATCATCAAATTTGACTTCTATAAACCATCTGCTTGTAAATCTGTAAAACAAATCTCCAAATGGAGGGAGTGTGTGTGTTCAATCTTTTCTTTGAAGGAGCTAATCAAAGCCATCGAATCATTTCTTGGCGGAAAAATTCCGATGTATGAAGATTTTTGTTGTTCGAAATTATGAAACGAGACAATCGACTATACATTTCGAATCATCGCATCACCAATATTAACAGCCATTCACGATAGATACTGATTCTTTTCTAAGCTGTTCAATGGTCATTTTCCTTCTTTTTATCATTGAAGATCGATAGAGTTACTTCTGAATTTTCTTCACTCAATTCAAATCAATCTTCGACCTTTCTCAAGTCCATGAATGATCAATCCTATTGATATTGGTCAGACACCATCTGAGGGACGAGATACGTGCAGATTTCTAACAAAAAAAATCAAATTACGAGAGTTTCGATAATCTTCGAAATTGCCCTAGTCATATTTTATTTCATATTGGAAAATTTTCGTTTTTTGAAATTCCAAATATTGTTGAAGGAAATAGAGGCAGATTCAACATGCAAGAAAGACACAATTGCATTTTTATATCTCAACTCTTACTTTTCAGTAATCAATTTCGACGACAAAGTGACCATGTGCTGAATAGTAATAAAATGCAGATAAATTCTTTGCCAATCGATTCGGTGCTCTCTATTAAGATAACGTTGTATCCTCACTTTTCAGAAACAGTTTGTCTTAAAGAGTGTTAGCGTGAGCTTGCAAACTAAAAAATAGTGCTATCAATTGTCATCAACATCCGATTTAATATACATGAATCAGCCATGGAATATTTTCATCAGACAAGATATAGCATAAACATCTTATGCAAGCGTAATTCTACCAGCAATCAGTGCCGGACATCTTGAGTAATAGTTTGAAAAAAAAGAAATCAAATTTTTTGAGAGAATCAATTTCGTTAGTTATCGATTCTTCTTTTTTGTTTTTTTCATTTGGCAAATTCTTCTATGAGTTCGTCAGTATTTGATAACGATCGAATACTTTTTGGATTAAAAAAAGAACGTGTTTGTTATTGTCAATATAGATTAATATTCAAGTTGAGTTCCAATAGATAATGCTTGTCTTGACAGTATGTTGTGACCTGCATCAATATTTGTTCTTTTACTTTAATTCTTCTTATCAAGAACAAAACATTCAGAAAAAAATAAAAAATCTCCTCCAGCATATTTCATACTATGTGAAAGACAGATTAAGCGAGGTAACTAATATAACAATGCTATAGTTTAATATTACAGCATTTTATGAAAAGAAAACTTGGAAACTATCTCTTCGTTTTTATTCATTTGCAAAGAGATTGAGCTATCTGGTTAGTAATGCATTTTTGAGTATCATATATGTGAAGATTAAATAGCTTATGAGAAAAATAGTTGCGAAATACAGCGGTTTAACAGCAACTTTCAGAAAAAAAAAGATTTTTCACAAACAAGTAAAATGAATATTTGAATTGGTATATTGAGTAAAAGCGCCTTTTTATGAAATAAAAATTTCATAACATATAGCGAAACAGTTCGTAATATCACACTGAAAAATATGACTGTAACATAGAAGAATGTATTTGAATATTAGGAAAGAGGGAAATAGTTTTCTAACAAACATGAGAAGCGTAAATGAATAAAAATCAGTTTACCTTATTTAAACAATCAATGTGAGAACTCTATTAAATTTGTGTTCATATAACGATTAATCTCGCAGTGCGTTTTTAAATTCTCAAAGAAATGTTTAGTTACTAACTCTTTGGATAGGCCACTGAGAAATATTAGGTACTTTGTTTTTAATAAAAGTTCGAATATTTTTACAACATATTTATTCGACTCATAATGCGCCCTGATATAAATAGTTTTTCGTTCTCTTCAAACACAATTTACGACTAATATCGATAACAAGCTTCTTTCTTTTTTATTGTTCTCTGTTCTTTTCATGTCTCCTGTCTTCAACTGACATAATGCAAGAGGATATACCTGAGTTTTTGTCTCAGAGTCATCTTCAAATTATGTAATTCCGATCATATATATATATACTCTGATCACAATTATGATTATATGGATAGCTCCGATTCATATTTTAAGAGGTTAACAAAAGTCGCATTCATAAAAGCTTCTGGAGAATCTTGTAAAACTGGAGCTATATGAAATAAGTCTTATATAACGGATTTTACGAGAGCTTCTCTCTTTTATGAATAAAAATTTAGCATGCTACACGATTGTTTATAGGGGTTGAAATTTTTATTAGAAAAATGAAAAATTCTCAGATTAACCCGGCTGGCCATGACAGGCATAGCTATGTCATATTTTTATCCCATATACACGGTGCCGAAACCTTTTAGTTTCACCTAGATCAGCGCAAAAGTACAACAACGAATGCTAAAATGAAATTGCACAAATCAATTCTTATTATACAGTTCGTTTTAATTATAACCTATTCTATTAACATTCATGGAAAAGATGATCAATGTAATGGCAATCAAACATTAAAATTATTGCATGAACAAGACATCCATGATTCATTGAATAAGTTATCACCGTATGGTATTTTTTGTTTTGTTTGATTCTAAAAAACATTAGTTTTGTATTTTAAGACCCTATGAGAAAGAAAGAATGGAATCTAATATTCCTGATATTTTCGAAGCTTCAGGTGTTGTACTTCGACCGGATAATCTTTTTATGTATATCATATTTGATAATACATTCCAAATCGGTGTTTTTTGTACTTGGCTGGCTATACAAACTATAAATTGTACTAATAAATTACTCGATTGGCCTGATAACACATTCAATAAACTCAATTCAGAATTCGAAGGTATAGCCTATAATTCATTAACTGACACGTATTTTATTGCACAAGAAACAATTCCATCCAATGTTAGTCCAGATGAATATAATTCAAATATTTTTGAAGTTCAAATAATAATAAATGTTACATTTTCGTCTATAAATCTTATTCAGTCATGTCGAATAAACTGGACATTTGATTCAACGAGTAAAGGATTCGAAGGTATCGAGTTTATAATACACCACAAGAGAAACAAAAATTATTTACTTGCATTATGTGAAGCAAATAAATGTACGCTTCAATCCATGTCTGAATATCCAGTTACTAGCCTTGGAAATGGAACACTCGTTGTATTGGAGAAACATGAAACTACATATAATAGTGAGTGAATTATTTAATTCTCTTCAAGAAAACAAATTTTCTTTCTCATTCCGTTTAGACTCTTGTCAATGGGAATCAGTCGGGATAATTAATCTACCATCTGATCTTAAATTTCGTGATTATTCTGCATTATCTGCTTATCGACAAAAAACATCAACTTATATTGCTGTAACAAGTCAAGAGAATAGTCAAATATGGATTGGTATAATAGAAGAAATCGATCAGAGTCCATATTTTCGAATAACATCATCAGACAAGACTGGTGTTTACAATTTACCACGAACAATTGTCAATGGAAGTACGTGTGAAAAAGAATATTGCAATATAGAAGGCATTGCATGGATCAATGAAAATCAATTCATTCTAGTATCGGATCTAGCCAAACAATCTCACGGGCCTACATGTTTTCGTAAAGATGAAAGTATTCACTATTTTTCACTGCCAAACATGAGAGAATCTATGGCCATGTATTCATGCCATTATTCAAGCTTACTTCTTTTCTTTAATTTCTGTTCTTTAATTTATTTCTCATCGTATTCATTTTTCGTCATACTATGATAAAAATCTTCTTGTAAAAAAGATAAGAGTTACTTCATATTTTATAGAATCGCATCGCCGAATTCATTTTGAAATTTTATGAATAAAAGTCTCTCGAATATGTTTGTTTCTTTTTATGTTCTTGCATAATGTCGAAGAAAAAGATCTGATACTTGAAAATTTCAAAAACCTATTGGTAAAATAACGCACAGTCAATTTTTACAAGCTGTGTAAATACACAAATTTACTCTGAATGAGCATCTTTAATCGCTGTTGTTAGGAATGCTTAAAAATCTATTTGTTCAAATTAGGATTCGCATTACTAAGTTGACTGATTTTCTTCAGTTGAATATCTTCATTGTACTTTAAACAAATTAGCTAATTCTCTTGTCTGATGACAAAGAAAATATTTAAGTGTATATTTGAATGAGACTAGTCTACGGAGAAATTTTGTGTGGGTTAATTTTCAGATGAGAATTCGATAATAAATTTTAGTGAAAATGTAGGGTCCTGTCGAAGAGAACAATGGAGTCAGGCTTCCAAAGATTTTTGAATTTCAATAGACTTTTGCGATTTTTTTAGACATGTTTTTACTGCTTATTGGAATCTACTGTAGTAATTCAACTTTTGTAGCTGGAGTAATTTATTCAACTGACATCGCTTCTAATCCGTCTTCTATTGTTATTGCTGATTTAAATAAAAACAATCAATTGAATTTTGTCATTGTTAATTGGAGCATTAATAGTATACTGAAGTACTTTTTAGGTAAGATAATGGAATATTTTTCACTCGAAAATCATATGTCGAAATTATTTTTACAAACCTACTAGTTTAATAATTATAGACTTGAATATTTGATACCTTATATGAATAAGTATTTACAAACGCGATACTTTGTAGCTATCTATTCGAATTTTTTTTCTCTGATTTCGAATACTTAGTGACACTGTTGTACATTGTTTGACATGCTCTGCGTCGAAACTTAGATACACAATCTGTCCTCATGATTGTCAAAGTGATCAAGTCAACAATATTTCGTAAATTGTAAATTTCGAATGTAAGCGTCTTTAAATGATTTTTATTTTTCTTTGTAGTAAAAATAATTTATGTCAAATAGAAAACTAATATCATCAACAAAATAATGACATAATATGTTATGTTTTTTGTATACTAGAGACAGAAAAAGAACAACAGAGATTTACCTTGGTTTTTTTATCAGAAAAACAAACGGTAAGATAAAAGCATACGTTATTATTATACGTCATTAAATTAACGTGTCAGTTTATTATTCAATACTAATATAAAATCAAGCAAGATGTATTTAGAATCATTAGCCAATGAATTATTACTTTATTTATTCGAATTTTTGGATGGAATTCCTTTACTTCGTATTTTTCATGGTTTAAATTCTCGATTCAATCATTTACTTTTTATTCATTTTCGAGCTTATCGTTTTGATTTTCGTTCAATATCTAAATATGAATTTGATATTATCTGTCGAAATTATCTTCCATCAATTACTGATCAAATTATTTCTTTAACTATTTCTGATGATGATGAAACACCTAATCTATCTGAAATTTTTCTGTCTTATAATTTTACTCTTGATAAATTTACTCATTTACAATCTCTTTCACTTTATTCTATTCAATCATTTGATCAATTAAATCAGTTAATATTTCAATGTCGTCAACTTCCTTATTTAACACATCTTTATATGATCGATGGTTATAATGATGATAAAAAAAATGATATTCAGTTTTTAATCAATAATATTTGGAGTTTAGCAAAACTTAATTATTTTTATTTAAATTATAATTCATCAAGTAAAATATGGTTAAATAAAATTTCAATAATATCATTATCAATTCAAAAAATATCTATTGAATATATTACATGTACTTTACGAGATCTTTCACATCTATTTAAACATACACCTTTTCTTCAATATCTTAATACAACTATTCATTTTAATTTCGAAGATGAACAAATGCCTATTATAACATCATCAATTACATCATTAAAATTAACATTTGAAAGTTCTGTACCTGTTATGATAAATCTTTTTCAAATGATGCCAAATTTATATTCATTAACATTAAAAACAATGGATATTTATTTAAATGGAAATAAATGGAAAAAAATTCTTATGAAATATTTAACTAAACTAAAAAAATTTCGACTACGAATGTATTTTGAATTTTCACATCATAAAAATGTTGATGAACAACTTAATAAATTAATTGATACATATAAAAATTCATTTTGGATTGAAAAACATCAATGGTTTATTCAATGTGATTGTATACCATTTGGAACATATCATCATGGAATTCTTTATACATTACCATATACATTTGATACATTTGTTTGTTATGATATAACAAAATCAAAATATACTTGTCCTAATGAAAAAATTTATTGGTCATATAATCGAGTCAAATGTTTTCAATATATGAAATATAAAATGAATGCAAATGATAATTCAAATTTATTACCAATTCAATTTCCAAATATTCAACATCTAAAAATTGGTATTCCTTTTGATGATAATTTTTGGTCATATATTCCTTCATTACATCGATTGACTACACTTGAAGTAATATTAGGTGAAAATTATACTCATTATCAATTACAAAATTTATTTAATATATCACCTTGTCTATATTCATTAAGATTTTTCTTTTCAATTGATTTAAATATATCATTAGAACAAGTTATAAGTCATTCCATTCGTCGTCTTAATTTTATAACTAAATGTTCATCAAATATAACACATTTGAATACTATTGAATGTAATGCTTTAGCTCATTCACAACTTGGACATCAATGTGAAGTTTTGTTAATTATAGTTGAAAATCGAGCGAATATTTTAAATATTATTAAAACAATGAATAATCTTCGATCATTAATTTTTCAATGTAAAGATGATAAATGGAATAATAAAGATATTTCATCAATTAATGATGAACTTGTTGAATGGCTACGTATGTGTTTACCATCGACTTATTCAATTACAAGAGATAAAAATGAAGTATTGAATATTCGAATATGGATTAGTAAAAATAAAAAGAATACGATTTTATCGTAATAGATAGAATTTTACAATGAAAACTAAAACATATTTTCCCATACTAAATAAATAATCTTTGAAAATAGTCATGAAAGTACAAAATGTGTTTTCTCACATAAATATATCTGAAAAGAAAAGATTTTTTTAATATTTATTTCAATAACAAAACTGTGATTTTATCGGTAACATGTCCGATAATATAAGAATCAAGCACCTACTCTAATTGGATTTCATTGTTTTTGGCAATTTTTATTCGATCAGAATCGACGACATAGTAATACCTGTATCACTTAAAGTCAACTGTCAATATTCTACTTTAAATGGCACGAACTGTTTCAATCAACACATATCCGTCTTTTGTCTTACATCTTATAACTTGCAGCGTTTTACGTAAACATGATGATTGTAACTTTTGAACTGTAGTTACACGTGCAATCTGCAAGCTACATACAACTTATTTAGTACTATTGAGACAGTAAACACAGCAATATGTTAGACACAGCTTGACAGAAACTTCACAAGCTCTCAAAGCATCTTAAACATTTGACACAAATATTTCGCAACCGCGCTATGAGACTATTAGGAGACACCGTTCACATAGTACTTAACCAAAGTTTTGATCAATTTAGATCTTATACTCTGGAGTAAGCAGTCTTCACTGTCTACTGTCGGAATCGAAATATGACTTCAGTCATATTTAAGTCGAAGAAAAATACATGTCAAGCAGTTTTTATTGAAAATTATTGTCGATTGAATGTTTCAGCGTTGATTAAATGGACATTTTTGTGAGATAGAAATGCCATGTTGTTGTTTAGCATATAAAAATAAAATATCAAATATTTACTTTTTGTGCATTGATTATTAGTCGATGTTGAGAAATTCATTTGCAAGAAAGTTATAATAAGTGACAAATTTAGATCATTAGCTAGTTGTGCGTCAGCTATCATGTCATTTTCCTTGTGTATAAGTCTAAAACAGATATCTTCCTATTATTTGAATATTTCTGTATCGATCACCAATGTTTATAGTTTTTATTAATGATTTTTTTTTTTACATCTGCTGAAGCATTTATTTCATGAAACACAATTGATAATCAATATTGAAGTATTGATCGAGACGAAAATAGGCAAAATTGAAACTTTAATTATTGTTTGCCTGTAACTATTTATGGATTGATTCGTATACGAGTGTGTATATGAAATAAATTCAAATGAATCATTCAAGGAAAGGGATAATGTGTAAGATTAACGTTTATTTCATACGACTTCGTCGAACGGATATTGACCATACGTATTAGACGATGATCGCAGTCAAGAATTAGTTCAATTATATCTCCTTTTGAATAGTCGCTGATATATTCATTTACATTCTTCAAACATTGTTCATTCATGTATACTTCGTTGTGATCAGCCCAACCATACGCGAAACTTGAGTTCTCGGAATTTAGTTGCATAGGTGTTGACTTTGAGATAATACCAAAAACCCACGATGGGTGTATATCAAGCTGATCAATTTTAAATCGAATCCGATGAGTGCCAATACTATGTTGTCTTTTTCCACGAATTTCACCAGATGACGAATAAGATGGCCATCTTCTTCAATACATACAAGTCTACAGACTTGTTCAAAGGTATCTGTTTCATTGACAAAAATCTTCCTTATGA